CCAATCTTTGTTCCCCTTCAGTTCATGTGACCATCACTGACCTCAATACACTCCCCTGGATGCACACTGCTCACCAGGGCCAAGGTTCCTGAGGTGCTGGTTACACAGAAGTCCCAGCTAGTTAGCCAGTGACACCTCCAACCTCCACCTCCCCTCCTCTCTCCTGGGCAGGTCAGGAGGACATGCCCCCCAGCCCAGGGGCTCTCCAATGGCTGTCATGACATAGTCAGAGTTCAATGCCATTGGGGGCCTGGGGTCACCAAGTATGAATGCATAAAGAAGCTGCCCTGCATGCACACAATGATCACATCAAGGAGCGTTCTTGACACTGAAAAGGAAGGATGTTTCCAGAATAAAGGACAGACCATCCCAGGATACAGCAGTTGCCAAGTTCCCACTGACATGTGCGTGCACATAATATACAAATCGCACTCACCCCACCTTTCTAAGGGGTTCCCTCCTCCCTAAATGGAGATGATGAGAAGCCTGCACCCAGGGGTGTGGTGAGAAACAAGCACAGGATAAGTGTGAATCCAGCCCCAGCCCAGAGCAAGAGGGAAGACGTGTCAGCTACTTGATTCTCACACACACGTCTCCTCCGGGCCTTGATCTGCTCACTGCCCGCCGTCAGGGAAGACTGTCATGGGGCAGCCTGGGGCAGAGCCCAGCCAAGGGTACCAGGCCTTGGAGACATCCCGGTGGGGACACCAGGTCACAAGGTAATTGGTGGCCTGCATCTGCTACCGGGGGTCACAGGGCTTCATTTGTACAAAGCTGCTCGAGTCCACTCTGCTCACCCACCTCAGCGCTGACCTGCTTTGTACCAAGCACAGCACTGGGCGGCCACAGTTGGGAACAAGACAGCTCCTGCCCCCCAGGAATGTCAGACCCAGGGAAAGGAGAACCAATGACGGCCTCGGACATCCGATGATCAGTGATCTAGTGCTCCTTATAGAGGTTTAAACAGAAACATAGAGAAGTATGACATTTGAAAATAGGAAACAGAAATTGGAAAGAAACATAAAATGAATCATCTAGCTAAACGAGCGTCGGGGAATCGTTTGCTCGTGGAAGTTTGGCAGGATGCTCGGGGCCTGTGATGGCTGCTGGCTGAGTGTGCAACAGAGGCAGCGGAACAGAACCACTCAGTGAGGGAGCCAAGCACACTGGGGGGAGACTCCACCCAGAGCGGGGCTGTCATCACTGGTCAGCAAATGACCTGTGGTAGAATAGGACCCTCCTCCAACATCTCCCCCAGCAGCTGTTTTATTCATGGAGACCCACGTGAGCACCGTGTGCTTTGAGCTCTGGAATAGCAGGACATCGACTGGCTCACACATACCAGGACCTGGCCTTGGTCCTCTACCCAGTAGGTGCCCTGGTGCCAACAGCAAGCCCACCGTGATCTGCCCGAACCCAATGGTAACAGTAGCAGCGGAGGTGAAACCTTTAATGACTGACAGAGCAGGAGATGACGTCCTGCAGGGACCCTGGCCAGCCAAGAGGAAATACTGAGTTGGTCCCAGCTCTGCCTGGTCCCAGAGGACATGGAGGATGTGGGCTGGGAGATGGGTTGTTGGTGGGACCGGGGCTAAGGGCCACTGGTGACACACCTGTTGTGCTGGTTTGGAGAGCAGGAAAGGGAGGCTGGGGGTCTGAGGCTCTGGGCACATCTCCAAGTGTCCTGGCCTCTCAGCAGAATAGGGTGCCGAGGGCACTTCCACCTCCCTTCCCCCCCAACACACACACAGGACAGCCCTCGGAATGCAAAGAAGGAAATGCTGAGAGCAGAAGCAGCCCCAGGAAGCAGGTGCCTCAGGGCCCCAGGAAGAGCAGAACCACAGCCCTGACCATGGCAGGAAGGCCCGAGGGTCTCACCCTAGAGCAGGAGCCCCAGGGCTCACTGTATGCAGCCCCACAGGAAGGCCAGCAGCACAGCACAGGCGGGCTCCTAGGAGGTGTAGAAGGAGACCAGGAGGGACATGATGGCCATGGGGGCCAGAGTCACATCCAGGAGGTGCCAGGAAGACCTACACGAAGCACCCATGAAGGCAGAGTAGAAGCCAGACTAATGGGGAGAGAGGTCGATGAGCCCCCAGGAGGCACACAGCACGCCCACAGTTTCCCTGGTGTAGACGTCTGAGCACAGGGGTCTGTGTGTCCACTGTGTACATTGGGCACACCAGCGCACACAGGCAGGGTAACCACTGAACCGTCTATCACCCACGGGTGTGACCTGCTGTGATCAGGGGACCTCTTCTCCCCACACCCAACTGGGGCCTCGGGTGCCACCTGTGGGAGCACAAAGGCCTGTGTGCCTCTGTATGAGTGTGTGAGTCTGAGGAAGCGTTCTTAAGGCCATGGTGAGCCATCCCGCTGGCCCCATCACACAATTCAGAAGCAGCTCAGTGCCTGTGTGGACATGTGTGACAAAAGCAGGTATAGGGGCATGTGTCACATGCTCTAGATTGTACACTGAGGTTTCTTGGCCCAGTGGGACCAGAGGCCTGGGTGCCCCACTGTCTGGAGGGGGCACTGTGTATTTCTCTTCGGCTTCTGGGTGGACACTGAGGCCTGGAGTGGGGTCAGGTCGTGGGTAGGGCATGTGGACCGCAGCAGGGTAGACATCTCACCTGGGGCAGGAGTCAGGCCCCTCAGCACAGGTGGATGACTGGGGAATGACCTTGAGCCCAACCTAGAACCTGGCCTTTAAGTCCATCTTCAGCCACAGCACAGAGTCCTGGGACAGCCAGGCCAGGATGCACAGCCTCCTCTGCACAGCCGCAGGGGGCCAGCAGAGGGCTGGTTGCGCCATGCAGGCACCTGAGGTCCTGGCCTGAGCCAGGGCTGTCACAGAAGAGGGCATGCATTGGGTGGGCCTGCAGGCGACACAGACCAGCCGTCAGGGCCCAGATGTCAGAGGATCCAACAATAGGGCAGGGGTCCAGGGCATCAGGAGAGGCACAATCTGTCTTCCCTCCAGGGGGGCTGACCCAGATGGGTTAAATGCCCCCCGTGTTGGTCTGAGAGAGGAAGCCAACAAGCTGTGCAGAGGGGCCTCCATCAAGGTGGGCCGTCCCCTCCCCTGCTCACTGCTCTCCCCAAATCCCCCTGCCCAAACCCTGGACGCCTTCTCTCCCTCCAGCAGCACTGGCCTGGAAGAACATGATAGAGGATTTCTCAGCGAGAAGCCTGAACGCTAATTAGACTCAAGGTTTGTCCTTCTGGAGGATTTTTTGCTTTAATTTTTCCTCCCCAGGGAATTTAACAGGGAGCAGCGTAGAGAGAAGCCAGGCCCAAGGGGCACCCTCATCTCGCTGGCGGGGAACGGGTGGGAGACCGGCTCCTTGAGGGCCAGGAGACTTTCCAAGTGTGCACCACTCCACCCACTGAGGGGGACGGCAGCGCTGGAGGGGGGTCTCCCAGCCTGAGGCCTCACCTTTCTCAACCCCCACCTGTGGCATTGAATCCCTAGAGAGGCACCAGGGGTTCTAGTTGTTTCTGGGAGAAGGATAGAGGCTCCTCCATTAATTCAGGATGCGCAGCATCCTCTGGGATCCCAGCGCCCCCTGCGGAGAGAACAGCCCTAGACCACCCCTCACCCTGGCCCTGCGATCCTGCTCCGGGCAGAACCAGGCCCCCACCCCCTGAAACAGCTTGCTCTGAACCCTGGGGTCGAAGGGTGGGGATCCCATGCCAGCTAAGGGTCCGCGGCATACTGGGCCCAGCAACGCCAAGAACGGCAGGGACCCGGGTGGGGACGCGGTGGGTGGGGAGCGGGGGTCACCGATGGAGGCGCCCGCTCCCGAGGACCTGCACCGCCCCTGGTGTCCCCTGCCCCCGGGTGAACCCGGCATGTCCCCAACAGCTCGTCCACCTCAACCCGGACTAGCTGCCTGCCTCGGACTCACCTGGCGCCACAGCTCTGGGTCTTTGGCTGGCGCTGCAGCCTGGTCGCCAGGAGCCACAAAGGAGGGGGAGCGAGGGGCGGGCCTGGAGCGCCATCCTGCGCTGCCCCGGACAGGGCTCCGCTGCTGGGCCCTGGCTGTGCCTCGCGTCCCGGGCGCCACCAGAACGTGCTGTGGACCTTCCGTGAGCGCGAGCCGCCGTCCCGGGCACCGCCTTCCACGGCCGCCTGTTGTTCCTCCAGAAGTGGCCACTCGCCCCTCCCATCAGCGGTCAGTGCCTGACCCCAGCGTGCCCTGCAGCCCCGCTGCCATTCCCTCCCCGTCTCCCCTATGCTGACCTGAGATTCTTCGTGGTGGTCTCCTGGGAGAGGGAGGCAGGGGTGGCCTCGCCCACCTCGGCTCTGCGGGGGTCTGCCCAGCATTCAGCACCCGACTCCTGCCCCCCTACTCTGACCCTGCACCCCTCCCCCACAGCCCCGGGACCAGAGTGACCTGGGCTAACCTTGCCAGCCTCTAGAACTCAGGGATCCACAGATCCCAGAGGGGATGCCAGAAGAGGGGCTGGTGCCCAAGTCACCAGAGACCAGCCAGGGTGCCCAGGGGCTCTCATCTCCTCCCCACCACTTTCTCAGACCACAGAGCTCTGTGATTCTGTGGCTCAGCTCTCCTTCTCCTGGCTGAAGGGCACAGCCCACCACCACCCACCCACCATCTCCCCGGACCCCATCCCCTGCCAGGAACCCCAGGTTTCTCCAGTGCCCTGCTGTTCAGGAGACTTCAGGTTGGTGCCCTGGGCCCAGCTGTCACAAGGCAACCCTGTTCTTTCCTGTTTTGAGGTGTGATCCTCTGCCAGGTTCTCTCTTTCTGATGCTTTGTGGTCTAGCCAGGCCCTTCAGCTCAGCTCTCCACTGAGGGGCTCTCATCGACTGCCCCTCTCCCAGGGACAGGGGCAGAGAATCTGCATGTGGATCAACATACTGCCAGGCCTGGGATTCGTGCTGGAACCTTCCAGAGCCCGGGTGATGCAGCCCCGGGGTCAGGTCCTCTCTTGGTCAGCTGGGGCTGCTGTAACAAACACCAGGCATCAGGCGCTTCAACAACAGGTGTTTATTTTTCACAGTTCTGGAGGCTGGAAGTCCAAGGTCAGGGTCAGAAAGGTCAGTTGCTGGAAAGATTCTCTTCCTGGCTTGCAGGTGGCCACCATCTCACTGTGTCCTCAGTGGTGGAGACAGATCTCTCTCTCTTTTACAAGGCCACGATCCTGCTGGGTTAGGACCACCCTTATGACTTCATTTAGCCTTAATTAAAGACCCTGTCTCCAGATACAGTCACGCTGGGGTTACGGCTTCCACTCATGAACTTAGGGGGCATAGTTCCATCCATGGCAGGTGCACAGCCAAGTGCCGAGACCCTCCCAGCAGGTTTGGAGAAGGGCGGCTTTCCATCCTTGGCCTGCGAGCAGGATGCATGTCAAACGGTGTGACCCCAGCACCTCGTCTGCTCAACTGCCATCAGCTCATGCCCCAGGGCGTTCGGTGGCAGGATGATACCCCAACAGGAGGTTGACCATCCCCTCTCTTCAGGGGCCTCCCCCCAGTTGCTGCTGGGGGAGTTGGGGCAGGTGCTGGCCCTGTAGGTTCCCACTGGCTTCTTCCATGTGCCCCTGACCTCCTCTACTCCAGGACAGATGGAAGAAACTTTGTGTGATACAGCCTGGTGGCAGGGTCCCTGGTGCCCACTGCCCAGCAGTGTGGCCTTGGGTGCTACACCTCGCCTCTCTGAGGCTGACTCGCTTTCCTGTAGGGTGAAGGGCTTGGACTGGACAGTCTTCAAGGTCCCTTTAGGTTTGGGGATTGGTCCTGTCCATCAGTGAGAGGCAGTGGGCAGGAAGTGCACCCACTCACCCAGGTCATCAGATTTGCCCTGTGCATGGCCCTCCTGGCCACTGCCTCCTGCAGTGTCTGCACAGCCCGTGACTGCCCAGAAGTGCACTGCATCCATGCGTTCAGCCACCACCTGCAAATGTGCCTGCCCGAGTATCATACCTGCTGAGGATTATGCCCCCCATGTGTCATGGTCGCTTGCTAACATGCCTGCCTGTGTACCATGCTTACCCGGCTATCACCCCTGCCTGGCGGCATTCCCCCTCAGGTGTCAGGCCTGCTGACTCTCATGCCCACCCGGGTATCACACCTGTGCAGTCTCACACCCACCCAGGGACCATGCCCGCCTGGGCATCCATCGCCCACCCAGGCCAGCTCAGCAGGACTCCAGGTCTTCCTCCCATGCTCCTGCTGCTCCTCCTGAGCCCAGGCCCCCGTGTGTGTCCTCTGTATCTCCCACCTTCCTCAGAGGAGGGAGGCTTTGAGAGTGGTGGCTGCAACAGCAGTGCCATCACCCCCTCACCCGGACGCCTTGGCCCATTGCAGCCTGAGTCCCTGCCATGCATTCCCCTCAGCCAGCAGCTGCTCTCCCAGTGGCACCAGCCTCCTCACCCACCTGCACCAGGGGAGGTGGGAGGAGGACAAAGAGGAGGGCATGAGAGAGGGAGAGCCCCAGATGCCTCTGCTGTGGGGCACCCCTCCCTGGTCTCTCCTGAGGGTGCCCCCACCCCTGCCCCCCAGCCCCACCTGAGTAGTCCATGTACAGGCTCCACCACCCACCCGTGAGCTCTGCTCCGCCACTCTGTGTGACCAAGTTCAAGTCACTTAACTCTGTGTGCCTCTGTCTCTTCCCCTGTCACATGGGGTTATAATAATACCTCATCGAGGGCTTCCTGAAAGGTCCATCAGGCAGCTGTGGATGTGCTCCTGTCTGGGCGGGGCCGCAAGAACACAGAGGGGCTTTTCCTTCTCACCTGATGTCTTTCTGGTCTGAGTGTGTGACATGTGTCATGATCCCTCAGACACTAGAGAAGAGCTGGTGAATAGAAGGAGGCTGCTGCTGGTGTTTTCAGTCTGTGACGTGTGCTCCTTACAGAAACCTTGGGAAGAGCAGATAAGCAGAAAGAAGAAAATAAAAGCCCCCAGGGTTGGTGCACATTCTCCCAGTCTACTGTGTTTCCTGCTGATGTCCCACATGACGGACCGGTGGGCCTGTGGGGCGAGGAGGGAGAGGCGGGGGAGACCACCTGAGGTCCCCACCAGGGGCCCAGATGAGTGCCCAAGGCTACAGAGCGGCCCCACCTCCCGGCTGGCAGCATCACAGTGGAACAGAGGGCCAGCACCAGGAGCTCCATCACCTCGCCTCCTCGGGCAGGTGCAGAGCCTGCCGCTGCAGCTCAGCCAGGCCGACGGTCCCACAGTGGGGGCTTCGTGCCACTGTGGGGACAGGCCAGCACCTTCCCTCCCTGCCCCAGAGGGACAAGGCCTGGTCCAGAGCCACCCTCAGCCCCATGCTGCCTGCTCTGAACACTCATCTCCAGGCCCCGGGCCTCCTGGCTGGGTCATGGGTCCATGAGAACAAGGGCCTGGCTACCCTCACAGAGGCCATGGCCGGGCGTAGGGCTTGGGGGTGGAGAAGGGAGCTGAAGGCAGTGGGAGACCATGGGAGCTCTGCACAGGCCTGTCTCCAGCCTCCAGGCATCCCCAGGAGGAAGCACGTGGGGCCAGAGACGGCGTCCCCGATGGAGTTGGCGTCAGGAGGACGGCTCTGTCCTCCAGGTGGGGCAGACTCACTGGAATTAAGCTGCTGTTCAGGAACTCCTGCAGACTCGGGATGACGGGGCGATGAGGGCCGTGTCCGCTCCCCTCCCTCACACGGCCGGACCTCTGGACAGTTAACCCTGGACACACGGCCCAGGGTCTTTCGTTGGGATTCTTGGAGTCCCCAGATGATGGGGTGGGGGTGGGGGAGAAGGTTCCAGATTCTCTTAGTTAATCTGTTCAGAGGAAGAGGAGACCCGGGGAAACTGAGGCAGTGGGGATCACAGGAGCCTTTCAGTTCTGGGGGAGGAGGTCAAGCCCAGAGGGCTGTTCCTTCCTGAGGACTGGGGCTCCCTGGGGTTGAAAGGCAGGTGGTGTGTCAGCCGGCTGACGTCAGGTCTCCAGCAGCCACTCCCTCTGCAGGCCCTCTACCTCATAAATTGGGGTCTGTGTCCCTCTCGTGGGCTCCTAGGCCTGTCCTCAGATGTGTGACTTTAGTGTCTGAGACCCTCTGATTCACTGGATCTGGGTACCCATCATGGGGCTGGCGGAGAGAAGCTGAGGACGTGGAATGACGTCCAGAAGCATGGAGGTTCTGGGTGAATCCACCCACAGGAAGGACGATGATCTCAGGCCCCGGCAGGAGGGCCAGCCCCTCTGCCTCCTGCCCCAGTTCAAGGGCAGCCCCCCATCCCCCACCTACCTGCTCGAACCCTGACTCCCATCCACATGTGCCCCACCCCCACAGTGCCTTACTTCATCACTGACACCCCAGCATCCTGAGGTGACCTGGCCACTCACTACACCACCATTAGGCAGGGTGACCAAGGATCCTGGATGGTGGGTGAGCCATGGCTTGGGTCCCATCCTGGGCCAGAGGTCTGAAATCATGGCATTGCCAGGGCCGTGTTGACTCTGGGCTTCTAGGACCTTCCTGCCTCCTGCAGCTTCTGTTGGCCCCAGGTGTCACATGTGACATGGCTGCCCCACTCCAGGCTCTGCCTCTGGTGTCACAGGGCCTTCTCTATGTCTTCTGATCTGCATCTGTGTCTCTCCTCCTCTTATAAGGACACTTGTCACTGGATTTAGGGCCACCTGGGTGCTTCAGGATGCGCTCACCTTGAGATCCTTGTCAATTACATCTGTAAAGAGTCTTTTTCCAAAGAAGGTCATGTTCACAGGTTCTGGGGGGGCATACCTTTTGGGGGGGTCACCATTCAATCCCCTACAAGAGGTGGCTGGCTTCCTCATTGCCCTGTTGGTGCCACTAGTTCACAGTGACCTGGGAAGTGGGTGGAGGTAAGGGATCCTCTCTTCCACCCCCCGCCCAAGACTGTACCTGGTAGCTCCATTGGCAGACGTGGGATTCCAGAAAATAGAATCCAGCGGATGGCAGGTAGCAGGTGCACAGGGGTGACACGGAAGTGCCAAGGGGTGGCTGGAGTCCCTGGAGGGGAGGGCTCAGGCAGAGCTGTGCAAGGCCTGCTCCAGGACGGGGTGCTGGTAAAGCTGGTAAAGCGATTGGCTCAAGTCTGGGCTCTGAGCCCCCATCAACAGCGTCTTCCTCCCTCCGAGACATGAGTTCATTCCCCCTCCACCCCTTTGCTCAAGCCATTCTCCCTGCCTAGCGTGCCCTCCCCTCTCCATCCCACCACTGTCTTTGTCAAGAGTCCTCCTGCCTGGTGTCCCCTCCTCAGAGGGCCCATGGCTCTTTGTCCCTGGACACCTGAGTAGTCAAGCTCCCCTCCCTGCTTAGTGGGGGTGTCCCAGTCTCCCCATGGTCAGAGGACAAGCTCCTGTGGGACAGGGGTGGCCTCACTGCCTCCCTCCCATGCCCTTCAGGCCTCCATGGATATTCCTGACACAGGCACCTGAGAGCCCAGGTCAGGAGGAGGCGGACGGGGACACAGGCCTGGGAGAGAGGCCTTCCTGAGCACACTCTCGGTCCTGGGCGTGCGCTCACTCAACAGAGGCTGGCCTGGGAGGGGGCCAGCCATGCCTGTCACAGGATAGGGCCCCTGCCCGGAAGATCTGACATCCCCACAGAACAGAGTGCTGGAGGAGACCTTGCAGGTGGATGCTTCCAACTGGCCCATCCCACAGACAGGGACACTGAGGCTGAGGAGGAGGGCTTGGGGAGTGGCCAGGTCCACTGTTGGTCCTGAGACAGCAGAGCCAGCCCTGAAGTCCACGTCCAAGGCCTTCCCGTGCCCACCACACAGCACATCCCAGGGATAGAGAGAGCCTGGGAAAGCCCTTCTGCAGGTGGGACCAGAACCACAGAGGTCAAAGAGCCGGGAGGGCTGGGCTGTGGGTACCAGGGAGGGCTTGCCTGAGGCAGTCATGTCCCCACCACACCCCGAACTCGGCCTGTGTCAAACCAATGGATAGCCTCCCTCCCAAACCCGACCCTCCCTAGGTCTCAGCACTAAGACCTGGGGCTTCCACCTCCTGACCATTAGCTCCCTCTCTGTCACACGCCTGCCACTGCAGGCCACAGCCTCCCCTGCCCACTGATCCTCTAGCTGTCTACTGTCCTCACAGAGCCACAGGGATCTTGTTAAAGTGACAATCGAGCATTAGGTCTTCCCAGAGCCTTCCCAGATCAGCCCATCTAGCATGGGGCCCACTACTGAATCCTGAACCCCCCACATGGCTAATTCCATCAGCGCATGGTCCTGTCTACACCAGCTCTCAGGTTAGCACAGGCCTCTGACCACCTGTCTCCTTGTCTCCACCATGAGGGACAGTGTCTCTGTTGGCTGCTGTGTCTCCAGCATCCAGAATGTGCCACACGCAGTTGGTGCTCAATACATGCTGGGTTTTCTTCATTACAGTTGGAGGGAGGCCATGATGGAGAACATGATCTGCCCAATGAGATGACTGAGGTTGGTGCACGTGGGCAGCTCGATGTCCAGGTTGTGATGACATATGTCATAGATGGCTTCCTTGTCCACCATGAAGGCACAGTCAGCACGTTCCAGGGTCGTGTGGGTGGTCAGGATGCAGTTGGAGGGCTCCACCATGGCCGTGGAAACCTGGGGGGCTGGGGAAATGGCAGGTTCGAGCTTGGACCTCTTGCCATAGTCCACCGAGAGGCGCTCCATGAGCAGAGATGCAAACCCAGAGCCGGGGCTGCCCCCGGAGCTGTGGAAGATGAGGAAGCCCTGTGCACAGATCCGCCTGAGAGAAAGCAGAGGATGGGAGCCTACGTGGGCAGAAGGCACAGCGCAACCTCCAACCAGCCCCAGTCACTTCTCTTCCTCTGCAAGGTCACACCGTTCACACCCTCCACAGTGAACATGCATGGCTCTTAGAGGCAAAGCAGACAGACGGTAAAGACGTATGGATGCACTGCAGCCACACTGGAGGGTAAGACTGTGGACTCGTGATTAAGGCCTCGGTTTTGCCAAAATGTCCTCCTGATCACATTCCAAGGCCTACCCTCTTGTGCAGGACAGTGTCCACAGGTGGCCTTCTCAGCGCTCTTCTCACCTGTTTGTGGATCCGGTCCAGGACCAGGTCGACGATCTCCTTGCTGATGGTGCAATGGCCTCTGACGTAATTATTGGCTGCGTCTTCCTTTTTGGTGATCAGCTGCTCCGGGTGGAAGGGCTGCCTGTGGGTCCCTGTGCACTTCATCTACAAAGAGGACACAGGGACCACGAGTCTTTAAGGCCTGTTGTTAATTCACCCAGGTGGACAGATTGGGACCGTCCCCTTCTACCAAGCACACACTGTTCCTTGCAGGTCAGCAGCATCGGTGTCTCACAGGAGACATGTCTGTGTAATACACAGACCACAACCTCACCCGATGGCTCTAGGAGAGAGGAGTCAACTCACGGTACAAATGCCAGCATGACTGGTTCCCCAAGAAGGGAGGATAGCTCTTGCACCGCACACAGGCAGCTCTACACGTGCGTGTATCTTCTATCCTCGTAGCTACAGCCAAGGGTGGAATTTAAAAATCCCTTAGGCTAGACAGTCCCCAGCATGACTGTTGCTGGGCAGTCCTGGCAGGGCACCCTATGTGGCCTGGGTCTCACAGGCTGCAGGGTGACATTCTGTCATCCCCTGGTGGCCACTGAAAGGTGCTCTCTTTGCAGCTCTCCTTGGAAACTACCTCAGACTTCTAATCTGGGGGAACCTAATGAATGTTCTATACTGAGCTTTCTATGTCTAAGATGCAGGTCAAGCCTCGTTCCCCAACCTGAGGGACTGCACAGCACTAAGGAGAGACTGGTGCCCGGGCGCCCTGCAGACAGGGTCTCCACAACCAGCTGACCGGGCCAAGGAGGCCATGAGTGACTCCACCCCCAGCCCATCTCACTGCCGGCCAATCTCACAGCAGGTTTTTCTCAATTAGGAGCCTGAGTCTCATGGACATTTCAGGCACTAACCTTCTAGTGTGTCACCTAACGAGACCACGGGCATACACTTGTATGTCCGTCCCTTCTGCAAGGAGATCCAAAGGAGCCCACGGAGGGTTTTAGCAAGGCTCTCCCACCCTCCCAGGACAGCCACTGTGAGTGTCCGTATACCTACCAACATGGTGGGCTCCAGGTCCACAAACACTGCTCTGGGCACACTTTTGCCAGCCCCAGTCTCGCCGAAGATGTCAAATGAGTCATCAATTTGATACTTGGCATCTGACCATCAGGTGAATTCCACATTCAAGACAGCACCATTCCCAGCAGGCATTGCCCATCTGGACCTCTGCCTGCCCCACGTGGATAGAGACACACTTTCACTTCGAACCAGAACATAAATGTGAGACCCTCATTTTCAAGCAAATTGTCACTCTATGACATGCAAATGGGACCTGATGTCATAAATTAATATTTGTAAAACATTTTGGTGTCTGGAGGTTTGCTCAGACATTACATCCCATGACTAGCCATGATCATTTCATATCTGAAACCCGCCATCCAATGTGGACAGAGACACACTTGCACCTTGAACAGGAATACCACCATTATGAACTCATCTTCCAAGTGATCTGCAAGTAATATAAAAACTAATATAAAATAAGCAGTCAAGCAATTTTGCTTCCACCTAAGGCTGGATTTCCCACCCTGTTTTAAGGAATGGCTTACAATATCGGAGAAAATGTATGAAATAATAGTTTTTGGTCACTGGACAACAGCAGCAGAGGCAATGATGGCTCAGAGCAGAGAAACAAAGTCAGTGTGTTCTTGCCCCAGAAGCCTGCTGGGGAGTTTCCCGGCTGCAGCAGAGGGAGGGAGACCCGAAGCCCAGGGATCCCCCCGAGTTGTGAAGAGAGGATTTGGGGTTCGGGGAGGCCAAGGCAGCTGGAAACTGTGGTGCTGAGACCAGGGGGAGAGAGCTGCAGGGAAGAGCTCTGTGCAGACCAGTGGGGGGTCCCACAGAGCCCACAGCTGCGGCCGGCTTGGCACACATGTGTGGGGGACTCCTGAGCTCACAGCCGCCACGCTGGAAAGACGTCTCCCTCACAGGCACTGCACAGGGTCCGCAGAAGCGGGGCCCAGTGAGGCCTACACCCCAGGCTGTTCAAAACCCACCTCAGCAAGCTGAAAAGCAAGCCTCAAAGGGTGACACTGTTCCTAGGTGTATTGATAGCATCCCCAAAAAAAGTCTACAAATAGCTAAAGGAACACCAAGAAAATCTAGCACCCAAGAATGTGAAATTCATAATGTCTGGTGTCCAATCTAAACTTACCAGGTATACAAAATAAATCCAGAAAATATGACTCTATGAAGAGAAAAAGCAATCAATAAAAACAGACCCAGAAATGGCATAGATGATAGAATCAGTAGACAAGGACATTAAAATAACTGTTATATACCCACATGCTCAGGAAGGTAGAGGAAAAATTAGCATGATAAGGGGAACATGTTTGACATTAAAATGACTAAATCAAACTGCTAAGGATCAAAACAATAATGTCTGAAATGAAAAACACACTGGATGTATTAACAGCAGATTATATACCATAGAAGATAACATTTGAGGATGATGAAAATGTTCTGGAAACAGATAGTGGTGCTGGTTATACAACACGTGCATGTACTTAGTGCTACTGAATTATACACATAAAAATGGTTAAAGTGGTAATTTTTGTGTCATGTATTTTATCACAGAAAAGGTGATTCTCAGCAATAAAAGGAGCCATGTTCACACGTGCAACCACACGGATGAATTTCAGTCATAGTGAAAGAATCCAAACCACAACAAACAATGAACTCAGTGATCCCATTGACACAAAATTATAGGAAATACAGAAAAGTAGATTTGTAGGGAGGGCCAACGGGGTCAGGAGGGCGGGCTCACAAAGGGGCACGAGGGAACTTGGGGGTGATGGACATGCTCATTATCTCGATGGAGGTGATGGCTTCATGGCTTATCAATATGTTAATCACTGTTAACCCTTGTCTAATTATGCACTTTAAATGACTACTTTATTATTATGTCAATTATACCTCAGTTAAACTGTAAAAGAAATAGCAGGATAAAAATTTTTCAGACATTGAAACACTGAGAGAATTAATCATCAGCAGAGCACGACTACAAGACATGTGAAAGGAACCCCTCCAGCAGAGGGAAACAATCCTAGATGGACAGCTGGGACCACGCAAGGAACGCAGACACCACGACTGCTACATATGGGGCAGATATCAAAGACTTTCACCATATTTTGGAAACACAGTTGAATGTTAAAGCAAAAATAATGATTTATTGTGGGGTTAATAACTCATATAAAAGTAAAATATGACAAACAACAACACCAAGGCCAAGAAGGGGACACGAAAGTGGACCGTCGTGAAGTGGACAGTGTCATCTGAAGGCAGACTGGCACAAACAGAAGATGGAGGCAGGAATCCTCAAAGCAACCACAAAACATGAAATGAAGTGGCTGAGCCATGAAGCTAATACAGGAGATAAGATGGAATCATACCAATAATTCACCCAAAAGAAGGTAGGAAAAGAGGGAAATGGACACAAATGGGATAAATAGCAAACAAACAGGAACCTGGTGGATCTAAACCCAACCACGCCCATAGTCGCATCAGCGTCATTACAAATTCAACATAATTACCTAATAAAGGCGGATTGTCAGAGGGAGAAAAAAGCAGACCCAACTATGTGCTCAGTGCAGGAAGCCCAGAGACAGGGAAAAGGAAAGAGGAGAGAGACCCGCAGGCTGAGGCTCCCCCACAGGAAAGGAGGGCGGTGGCTGCAGGGGCAGTGCAGTGTGCATTCTGTGCCCTCTGCTTTCTGCGGACAGCAGCACGTGCTGAGTGCAGATGGGCCTTGGTCTGGGAGAGGGGAGGCTGGCATGGATGGACCGCCACACCAGGCATCCTCCAAGCAGGGGTAGAGGGAACTCTGCTCTGGATGAGGTGGGACAGCATGGGTGGGGGGACGCATGTGCACATGGAGGGGGCAGCGAGGACATTGCTCCAGGACGCGTGGAACAAGTGCTGATGCTGGGGCCTCCCACTCCACCACTCATCTCATGCTTCTCCAAGAGTGCCACGGTGAGCTCGACCCTGCAGTTGAGTGGGCAGACTAGCAGGAACTCAGGTTCTCTCAGTTCTCTGATGCCCCCGCAGGCCTCGGGTTGGGGGTAGGGGACAGGCCTGGCCAGATAGCACCTGGCCCGCAGGGAGCTCCCAGGGAGCAGCACATTCACTGGGGTCCAGTGGGGAGAGCACAGGCCAGGACCAACAGTGCTGCTTTCAAAGCAAAGAATTTCCCAGGGAAAGAGGGTCATTTCATAATAACAAAGGGGCCATTCACCAGGATGGCATCACAGTCCTCGATGGCTGTGTATCAGGAGAGTCACAG